CATGTCTGTAGGTCAAGGGGCATGGCCGCTATGGCGCTGCCAGTTTTGATCCATCGCCATGCATATTCAAGCAGCTCTCTCTCCCACATAATTCATCCAAACTGCTTCAAATTTTCTGTACATGATAAGAGCCCTGCCCTCAACGCCTCCATATGCTCGTAGGCAATCTTGCTCATGCAGCCCCCTTGCGGAAACAGGGAACATCCTGATCAAATTCCTGAACCACCTAAACTGTTCCCTTTTGATACACAGGAGCAGCAGCTCCACTCCAATCTCCCTCTGGATGCCTGAAGTCCTCACCTTATTCCTAAGGTTGAGCCCAGCCACCCTACAGGGGAAACTAATTTCGCCCGCTTGTATCCCCAGTGTTATTCTTTCAGAAACTACCCAAAGCTCATTACCATAGGTGATAGTTTGGCTGTAGATGGACCGGTAAATGGAGAGCTGTATCTTCCCGCTTGGCTCCCTCTTCATCACGATAGTAAGGTACCATGCCTACATCACTGCTGATGTCATGCCAAACCACCTGTCCCTCTCATGCTCCATTTAACCTCAGTCATGGTCAAGATCCCAAGATACTTAAATTTCATTGCTTGGGGCAGTAACTCTCTCTCTCCCAACTCATAGGAGGCAATCCACTGTTTTCTGGCAAAGAACCATGGCCTCAGAGTTAGAGATACCGGATGGCTTGTAGCAATGACCCCAGTACCCTGTATTCCCGTATTCCCACAGTATCCCCCACAGGACTCCACAAGGTATGTGGTCACTGGCTTCTCCAACTCCACAAAACTCAAGTAGACTGGGAAAACTCCCATGACCCATCCAGCAGGCCTGCAAAGGTCAAGACCTGGTCCACAGTTCAACGGACAGGACGGAATCCACATTGCTTCTCCTCAATACGAGCTTGACACTCACAGAGCTTCCTTTCCAGCACCATTGAATAAGCTTTAACTCTGATAATAGGATCACTCTCTGGTTCCCTTTTTTTAAAATGGGAGCCACCATTCTGGTCTGCCACTCCACAGGCACTGTACCCATTCTCCATGTGACACTGAAAAAGTGTGTCAGCCAAGACAACCCACCAATGTCCACAACCTTCAGCATCTCAGGGCAAATCTCATCCACACCTGACACCTCCCCACCAAAGAGCTTTTTTGACTACCTCAGCGACCTTTGCCAGGAATATGGATGAGGCTCTCTGTGAGTCTTCGGACCCTGTCTCCTCCATGGAGGACTTTCTGGTCCTCAAAGTGTTTCTACAGCCTTACAATATCTCCAGCCTGGGTCACCATTTCTCCTCTTTTGCCAAAAACAGTCTGAGACAAGCCCTGCTATGCCTTCCTGAGGCATCTCACTGTTTGCCAAAGTTTGTTGAGACCAACCAAAATGTCCTTCTCCATAGCATCCCTGAAGTCCTTCCATACCTAGGCCCCCCAATACTTATCTGCTGCTTCAGGAGACCCCCTGGGCCGACCAAGCCTGAAAGGCTTCCTTCTTTAGCCTGACAGCCTCCTTATTGCTGGTGTCTACCAGTGGATACTTAGGTTTTCACGAAAACAGGCACAAACAACCTTCTGACTACAACTTTTGACAGCCACCTCAACAGTAGAGGCTTTGAACATGGACCACACGGATTCCATTTCTCCAACCTCCCGTGGGATGCAAAAAAAATTCTTCAAGATGTGGGAGTTGAAGACCTTGCAGACAAGGGACTCAGCCAAACGTTCCCAGCTCACATTTACTACATGTTTGCCCAGGAGATCTGCCCAGGAGCCTCCCCTGCCATTTAAGCCAACTCAGCGTTAGCTGGTGATGAGTTGACAGCCCTTCTCCCCTCTTCACTTCAATCTCCAAGATGCACAGCCAGGGATCTGATAATCCAACCATAAAGTTGATCATCAGTCTTTCGCTTTGGGTGTTCTGTTACAAAGTAAACTTATGAACCAACCTATGCTTGAACATGGTGTTTGTTATGGCCAATCCACGACTAGCAAAGAAATACAACAAATAAAATACCCTTAGGATCATCATCACCTCCATCAAGATTTCTCCTCTGTTGCCCACGTGATTGTTGACGTACCCCAGCAGAACTATAGGGTACCTCTTCCAGGACACCCCCCAGAGACTCCAAGATGGCAGGGTACTCTGAACTGCTGTTTGGTCAGAGACTTGTCAAAGACTTCCTGTCAGGGATTCACACTTGCATCAAAGCAATGGCTGTTCCTCCTGAACAACAGCATCGCACTACAGCCACCTCTGCATGGTGTAATGTTATAGCAGTTATCCACAGCAGGATGCCGAGCAGCTGTGTCTCAGGAGGTAGAGGGGATCATCCACTAATCGAAAGATTGATGGTTTGATCCCCCGCTCCTCCAGTCTGCATGTCAAAGTGAATTGAACCCCTAACTACTCTGTGTGAGTGTATGAATGTTTGACTCAGTAGTGGATGACACCTTGTGTGGTAGCCTCAGACACCAATATGTGAATGAGCGTAATTTTGACTCTGTAGTGTAAAAGCGCTTTGAGTGGTCAAAAGACTAGAAAGGTGCTGTTCAAGTCCATTTACCAAGCCTTACTCTGGCTCTTACTACCTTAACTGTGGGTTGCATTCAATTTTGTGCGTATGATATTAGGGCTGGGGTATTAAATATTATAGCTATTATATTGATATAGTTTTTAATGGTTTTCTGGAGGGCTGAATTGTATATTTCTGTACAATTTTTTTGGTGTCTTTGTCTTATGGTTTTGATGCCTGATATGATGTGTGGGTAATGGTTGTTGATGAAGAACGGGAGTCTGTGTGCCACTTTCAGTGCTTTTTTGTTTGTAGGTGTTTCAGTTGGTTGTCAGAGATGGTGATCCAGACGGGGACAGAATATTCAAAGAGTGATTGGGTGTATGTATGTGTGGTGAAGACTTGGATAACTGTAGAGAGTGATGCACCATGCTTTCCACAGAGGGCTTTGAGATGATTGAGTCTATTGTTTGCTTTTTGTTCCAGGTTATTGATGTCTTTTGTCCAGGTCATGTTGATTTGGAACGTTACCCCAAGGAATGCTGCTGTGATACTGATGTTTATTTTTTTGTGTGAGGTTGACATTGTTGTTGTTTGACTGCATATGTGGGTGTTTGGTGAAGAGGGCACATTGTGTCTTGGCAGGGCTGAGTTTGCCTCTCCACATTTTTGACCAGTGATGAATTTGTGAAGTTTCTTGTCTGCTAGTTTTTGACATTTGGTGTTGGACTTGTAACAAAAATCATCTGCAAACTGTGAAACATTTGCTATGGTAGCTGGGAGGTAGTAGATTTCAGAGATGTATAACAGAAATGGACTTAAAGCTGCACCCTGCGGAACTCCTGCTTGGGGGGTGAAAGGTGTTGAGATGGCAATGGCTACTTTGACTTTGATTTGTCAGTTATTGAGAAAGCTTGAGTTGATGGATTGGGTGGCTTTTGGGAAATTGAGATTTGAATCTGGAAGCCTGTGTCTGAGTTTGTTGTGCCATACTTTATCGAATGCTTTTTCAATATCAAAGAAGATTGCAAGGGTTATTTCTTTGTTGTTGAAGTCCCTGTAGATGTCATCTGATAATCAGAGTATGTTATATGTGGTGGCTCTTCCTTTTCTGAAACTGGCTTGGTGAATTCCTAGGAAACCCACTGATTTGATGTGGTTGGTGAGGCATGAGGTGAGTACTCTTAAAAAGAAAAGCGGATGCTGTCATATGCCTCCTATATATACTGTAAACTCCACACTTTAACAGATAGGCATGTTCTGACTGGGCAGCTAAGTTTATGCAAATTTCAGTAGGCAAATGCGTGCTTGTGATTGGAGGAGAGTATTGCCCATAGAGTCCAGTTGAGGGTTTTGGCTTTGCCAATAGAACTAGGGTCACAATATTTTACCCTTCATTTTCTGACAAGCACTTTGTGGAGTAGAAATGCCATATGTAGATGTTGTGTGTGTTGTCTGTTCTTTTATATACAAAAGATATGATACTAAAATTAAGAAATAACGTAAATTCATTATTATATTTACTAATAGGCCATTTACAGGTGTAACACTTCAAGTAAACACTGATAGTTCACTTCTTTGGTTTACAAATGATCCTATCTTCCTAAAATCACGTTTTTACAGTGCTTGTAATAGTGCTGCATCTTGCACACATTCAACAGTGTTGCACATACAGAGAAGACTAGTGTGCTTATAACAGGCAGTTAGTTACCAGTCAGGATGTTAATGCTTTGCTAACAAGCTAACATAGCTTAGCCTTGAAATCAGTCATGTGTAGCAAACAAATTAGCCTCATCATTTTCATTTTCATTTTGTCAGTCTTTAAAAATGTAGAAATGTTCATTCAAGTAGCATGTCATGGTTGCTTTTCAGGTTGCTTTTCAGCTGTTTAATAACCATTTTTTGCTGTCAGAAGCCATCAAAACTATCTGAAATGGCATTTGACTTATTAGAAAGTTGTATTTTAGAGTGGTTACTAGGCTGACTCATTCCAACACCATGGATAAAATACTCCCCTTGGGTGTTACATAATGAACAATTGGTGAGCCTCTATTGATTCTAGCATTTTGAGTGTGCATGTTTGCGCCCATAGGTGTGTGTGTGTGTGTGTGTGTGTGCGCGCGTGCATGATAACATACTGTAATTTTATTTTTGTGTGCATATCCACTTTATGTCATTCTCTCCAGCAGCCCAAATGTGCAGTCTGTGTTTTGAGCTGAAATAGTGGAGGCCTATATCAGGCCCACTGGGAAGTGGACTCTGTTTGGGAACCCCTCAGAACTTGCTGAAGGTGTCCGCATTACTTTACCAAACAAGGCTTGCTGAGAAGCTCTCGGTTATATGTTCACAGTTATGTTGTGCCTTCCTCAGGAGTTTTAACATGACAAACATGCTGTGTTCCTCTGGTGTGCAGTCAGAAGATGTCATTATTGAGATTTGTGCATTGCTAATACTGTCAATGCTCTTTGTGTCTTTTTCTCTCCAGTCATTTAGAGGAGGTGGTGTTTGCCTGTGGATGTGAGATTCGTTGGCTGCAGCTATGGCAACAGAGAGAAGAGGCAGGGCTTGGCAGCCAACAGTTATACTGTGCTGATGGCTACACAGAGGGTATTAGAAGGATGGCAGGAAGAAAGATACTGCTGCAGGATATGAACATCAGCAGCTGTGGTAAGTTTGGAGTGGGAAAATTAGCACAAACATACAGATCTGATGTGCACCCTCAAAATAACCATTTGTATAGCAATTACTCACCCTGTGTCATATTGAATTCATGAAGAAAACATTGTTCGCGCATGCCTCCAGTGAACAAAGAATCTTAAAAGAAACATCTTAATGAACTGAAATCGTTCTGTATTCAACAACAGCAAAACTATATCAAAACATCCATTTACAAACTGTCACACAACTGATGCAATATAATCCAAATCTCATTTAAGGGTGGCTGTGGCTCAGGAGATAGAGCACGTTGTCCACAATTAGAAGATAGGCTGTTTGATTCCCGGCTGCTCTAGTCCGCATGTCAAAGCATCCTTGAGCAAGATACCAACCACCAAACTGCTCCTGATGTCTGTTCCATTGGAGATTAATTTTGGTAAAAACTGAGTAGCAGGTAGCACCCTGTATGGTAGCCTATGGTATCAATGAGTGTGTGAATAGGTGAATGTGACTTGTAGTGTGAAAAGTGCTTTGATTGTTTGGAAGAAAGAAAAAGCAGTATGCAAGTGCAAGTCCATTCACCACTTATCCACTTGCATGCTTATACAGCCCTTTCTGAAGAGGAACCAAACTTAAAGTGAAGCTTATTTATGCTCTCTTCAAAACCAGACTCCATTGACAAAAACAGCAATTTTTTCCTGGCTGAACATGAGAGCTGCTAGTCTTGTGCTGCTTCGATCTGTAGTATGTTTGTGTGACTGTGTGACTTTGCTGAATCCGAATTAACCTTTTAAAACACCAAAATCAGACTGGACTGGGTTGTCAACAGGATAAATTAGACTTGGATTATACTACACCAGCTATGTGAGTTTGTATACAAACTTTTTGATGTAGTTTTGCTGTTGTAAATGCAGACTCTTTTTATTTCAGTTCATCAAGATATTTCTTTTTAGACCCCTTTTACTGAAGTTCGTTAAGGCTTTTCTCCTTTCTTGGATTTTTCATTCAATGGAGGCATGTGAGAAAAAAAAAGTGTTTGCATCACAAATTCACCATAATGCAGGGTGAGTAACTAATGAACAAATGGTCATTGTGGGGGTGTAGTATTTCTTTAATGATGGAGAATTCTGACAGCAGATAATGGCTTTTGTCTTAATACTGATTTCATGATAGACTGACATTACTCTCAAATTTTATTGTTTTAAATAAGTCTTATGAAAAAAAATAAAAATAAATTGTTAATCCATCTGTTAGTACATTGTGACTTCCCTACTTTGTCTGTGCCTCTCAGCTCCAAGCCCATTAGTTTCTACTTCAATTTTAAGAAATAGTTCACAAATATTTAATTTCGGTCTTTATGGGAGGAATTATATTTTGTCTCACGCTCTCTCTCTCTCGCTCTCTTTCTCTCAGACCTGCCAGATATTAGCGTCAGCCATAGCAACCTTACTGTTGTCGAGGGTGATCGAGTAACAGCAATCTGTAACGGCTCTGGATCACCGTTACCTGAGGTGGACTGGCCTGTCAATGGCTTACACTCCATCAATGCACAAGAGGTAGGGAGGCCACACAAACACATAAATTCACACACATCTTGGAAAACACAATGCTAGACTTAAGAGTGTTACATTTTTCATGTGATACTATCAAGCTGCTGGCAGTTACTGTAACAATAGGAACTACTGTTAGAAACTGTTGTTTAGTTCCGTGTTGCAACCGGACATGTCATTGTGTGATACCCCCTGAGTTACTAGACCGAGTTGTAGGTACTTCACACCGAAGTTTTATTAAAGTTTATAACCTGGTTGGGTGGAAACACTTGGTACGCTTCTTGTGAGTAACAAACAAGACTTTAACATGGTGGCAGCAGAGCGGTATAGGACACGATCTGAAGTATAGGTGTGTACTTTCTCCAAAGACACCACCCATACTAAATGTAAACTGGTCAAATGAAAATGGCAAAACAGTGTTAGCAAGTTACTCACTCAGTTACTTATCATTCACATACATTAAGTTATGTCTAGGGGGTAATTGGCCGTTTTTGACTAGTTTGCATTTACCTTTAAATTTCACCTTAAAAAAACTGTTTACCTTGCCTTGTTTGGTATCATTCTTTTCAGCACAACCTCACCTGTGTGACTTTACAGTTATTTTTTCATTTTGACATACTGTATTAACACACTGGACCTAAAATCACATAAAAAACATAAAATCCGAGTAGGAAAAAGTTAGATTTTTTACTGTGAAAACCACAAACATGTCTAACGAACCATTTGTGTAACTTAGAATAAAAATATAAATTGTAAACTTCAAAAACATATGTCCTAATTTAGCAAACAACAACATTATATATAACTATTTACATTAAAATGCAAGCAATGCCTCAGGCGTTTTTTGAACAACTATTTACAAAACAATCAGATGTCACACAAATTATTTGTCAAAGGGAAAAATGCCAGCACTCACAAATGTCCTTTTGGTAAATTTAATAAACCAACTTGGGTGGCAGTACCAGAAACACAGACATTTTGACAGAAAGTCTTTTTCATAGAAGAAGACTTTCTGTCAAAATGTCTGTGTTTGTCGCTGTTTTTGGCCATGCACCTTTCTAGGGGATTTATTTTGAGAGTGCTTGCTTTTCTCCTACGTGATTTTACACAAATTATTTGTGCCACTCTGAAAAACAGTTCCTGTCCACCACAACACACTACAGGAGGAGGACACAACAGTAGGACAACAGGAGGAGTGACACACACTGTGTGGCTTTGCTGCCTGAGCAAACGGAGATCCGGACCTGGTGGGCGTGCCCTGCCACACCGTCCGCTCCTCTGTGCGGACCTCCGAGTACTACTCAATGCGGTCATTGGAGGCTCATTTTCCTCTCTCCTCTTCCAAAACACAATACACCACACACTAAGTATACACTCCAAACACGCTAAACGTCACAAATCCCAACTCTATCTGTGATCGCGATCGCTGTCTCTCTCGCTGCCATCACTCCCACAACTTCCCCCTCTCCCCCAGGAACAAATGATGTGTGTTGCCATACAATTTTGTGATTGGTTGACGTGGTGCATTTTTCAACCAATAGGAAAGGGGGTGTCTTTTTTTTTTTGTTTTTTTTGCTGTTGGCTTCAGCACTTTCGTCGGGCCGAACGGCCCGTTTTTACCGTTTCTTCCTGCATCAAACGCGGATCAAACGTGACAAAAATATTCAGGAAAATCATGGCGTTTATTATTTATCATGAGTCCGGTTTTATATGGCCTATCAAGATGATTTAAAAAGTGGTACAAAGTTTGAAGTTTGCACTTTCCACACAAAATGAAACGGAGACTCAGCGAGGCTGCGTATTGCTGCTAGGTCGTCTCAAATCGGTCACGTGATTTTGACGCGCCGGCGCCGTTCTGGACCGCAGAGGGTTAAGTACTCAACAGAAGAGGGGATGAGCCTCATTACAACCTTCACACCCTGCAGCTCTGAACTAACCTGAAGAAACAACATGTCAAGAAGATAACTCTGCTGTGATTACTGTAACAAGATACTGGGTAACATGCAACTGCTACTCATGCACAGTGTTGGGCAGTAACGCGTTACAGTAACGTCGTTAGTTTTGGCAGTAACTAATACTCTAACGCGTTAGTTTTTAGATTCAGTAACTCAGTTACCGTTATCAAACGGTGTGTTACTCCGTTATTTTTGGCCAGGTTTTAATAAAACGGTTTGCAGCATGCAGTATTCCTTCACAAACTGTAGTTCCCTTTCACTAAAACACTTTAGCCCTAAACAATAAAAGATAGTCAAGTCAGATTGAGGTATATGAACAATTCTTACCAGAGCATCTTAATGAAACACATCTCTCACCATCTCTGAAGTCACTGTCGACCAGCTGGCCTCACCGCAGTGCTGTACATTAAGCGGTAGCGCTTCTCTAGATTTGTAGTCCCAGTAACGTTATATCCAGTGACATGATATCCATTGTTATACCGAGGAAGCTTTTGTTGTGGACAAACAATGTCTGCGGTGGGTGACAGACTCGACATCATTATGTAGCTCTTCAAATGTTCTCTTTAGCTCATTTTCCATATTTGTATCCAAGTACCGTAGTTATAAAACATTTAGCTGCCTGACAGCGAGTGACTCCACTGAAATTGCAGGTTACAGTCACAATTTACATCCATGTCTGTCCAGACTCATATGTAGCCATGACAGTAGACACTGCTTTGAATATGGATGTTGCTGCAAAGAAGCTAAAAAGTCTAAAACATGGATGCTACACAGAGAGAAGAGCTCTACAATCAATCAATCAATCAATCAATCAATTTTATTCATAAGCCCAATATCACAAATCACAATTTGCCTCACAGGGCTTTACAACATACGACATCCCTCTGTCCTTTGGACCCTCGCAGCGGATAAGGAAAAACTCCCCCCAAAAAAACCTTTAACGGGGAAAAAAATGGTAGAAACCTCAGGAAGAGCAACTGAGGAGGGATCCCTCTTCCACGGACAGTGGAATAGATGTCGTACAGAACAGATCAACATAATAAATTAACAGTAATCCATATGACACAATGAGACAGAAAGAGAGACAAAGAGAGATGCGGGACAGATGGTAATGAAGCTCCCGACAACATTAATGAAAGTAATAAAATTATAATTATTATTACAGCTATTGTGGTACAATAAGTTGAAAGTATATATTAATATATGATAGCGTATATATGTGCCAATAGTCATGTGTATAATAACGGTAGAGGTATGGCTAATGATAACAGTGGCAGCAGGAGGCATCAGGCAGGACCACGGCAGCAGCACAACCACACACGTCACACTATCCAGGCACCGCTGTGATATAAGTCAACCTTCGAGACAGTGGAGCACAAAGGCTCCAGAAAAGAAGCCGAGTTAGTGACATGCAGTATGGCCGAGTTAGCAAGATGCAGCTACAGGTCATGAGTGTTAACAAAGGGGAGAGAGAGAGATAAGGACAGAAGGTGCTCGGTGTATTATAGGAGGTCCCCCGGCAGGCTAGGCCTAAGTCAGCCTAACTAGGGGCTGGTACAAGGCAAGCCTGAGCCAGCCCTAATTATAAGGTTCATTAAAGAGGAAAGTCTTAAGTCTAGTCTTGAATGTGGAGATGGTGTCTCCCTCCCGGACCGCAACAGGAAGATGATTCCACAGGAGAGGAGCCTGATAGCTGAAGGCTCTGGCTCCTGATCTACTTTTGGTAACTTTAGGGACCATAAGTAAACCTGCATTCTCAGAGCGCAGTGTTCTGGTGGGATAATAAGGCACTATGAGCTCTCTAAGATGTGACGGAGCCTGACCATTTAGAGCTTTATAAGTTAACAGTAGGATTTTAAATTCAATTCTGGATTTTACAGGGAGCCAGTGCAGAGAAGCTAAAACAAGAGAAATATGATCTTGTTTCTTAGTTCCTGTTAGTACACGTGCTGCTGCTTTCTGAATTAGCTGGAGAGTTTTTAAAGACTTATTAAAGCTACCTGATAATAGGGACTTACAGTAATCCAGCCTAGAGGTAACAAAAGCGTGGACCAATTTTTCTGCATCTTTTCATGTCAGGATAGGCCAAATTTTCGCAATATTACGCAGATGAAAAAACCATCAGGTTTGTTTTAAATGGAAGTTAAAAGACAAATCTTGGTCAAATATTACTCCGAGATTTCTTACAGTAGTGCTACAGGCCAGAGCAATGCCATCTAGAGAAACTATGTCATCAGATAAAGAGTCTCTGAGTTGTTTGGGGCCAAGAACAATAACTTCACTTTTATCTGAATTTAAGATAAGGAAATTGGTGCTCATCCAGGTTTTTATGTCTTTAAGGCAATTATGTAGTTTAGTTAGTTGATTAGTTTCTTCTGGCTCCATCGATAAATACAATTATGTAATAATGTTACCTAAGGGAAGCATATATAGAGTGAATAGGATTGGTCCGAGCACAGAACCTTGAGGAACTCCAAAACAAATTTTAGTATGTAAGGATGACTCATCATGAACGTGAACAAACTGAAAACGATCAGATAAATAAGATTTAAACCAGCTTAGTGCAGAACCTTTTAAGACAGTTAAATGTTCCAGTCTCTGTAGCAGAAATTGAGTCAAATGCCGCACTAAGATCTAATAAAACAAGTACAGAGACGAGTCCTTTGTCTGAAGCAATCAGAAGATCATTTGTAATTTTAGGAAGTGCTGTCTCAGTGCTATGATGGACTCTAAATCCTGACTGAAATTCTTCAAATAAATTATTATCATGAGAAAATCACACAGCTGGTCTGTGACTACTTTCTCAAGGATCTCTGAAGGAAAGGGAAGATTAGATATTGGTCTATAGTTGGCTAACACCTCTGGATCAAGAGTGGGCTTTTTTAGGAGAGGTTTAATTACAGCTACCTTAAAAGACTGTGGTACATAGCCTGTTAATAAAGATGTATTGATCAAGTCTAATAAGTTAGTGTTAACTAAAGGTAAGACTTTCTTAAGTAGCCTAGTTGGGATGGGGTCTAAGAGACACGTTGATGATTTAGATGACGAAAT